ACCGGAAAATGCTGACAATATGCACAACTAGACTTAGTACTGATCATTCCTGTAAAGTTTGGATAATATTGCACCAGTAGTTTATGAGGAGTAGTCCGGACAAGTTTTGTGACAGACGGATAGACGGACAGACAGTGTGACGTCATGTAAACAACTCTTTAAACGTCTGTACAGCGTTAATTACTGAATTAAAGATATTGGCGTTCGGATTAATTTTCTTAGTTAGACCATTTTCTATCATTCTAGATAGTTTTAAAAACAAAATTCAAGAAAAACTTGTTTTGTATTAATCAGTTTTTTTCAAACAAAACAGCGAAAGAAGTTCCGTAAAATAAATATGAGTTTTGACTCCGCCCACTTTCATATTTATATTTCATATTTATTTCTAAAAAATATGAAATATATTTGACTGATATAGCACCATATTTCATGGGTAAAATTAAATAAATCCTTTTATTTTGAACTAAATTTTCGCGACAAGTATTTGCTTGTTTGTGTGTATCGGGTATGTCGCCAGTCGTATATCTTTTTTCAGCGTATAAACTCAACTAAATCCAGTAATATATATCTTATGTATAGCCTTTGATATGTAATGTCATCAATCACAATGGACAAATATTCAAAAACAAAATTATATGAAACAGTATTAAGAAATATAATTATAAAAACCATGTATTACAATGAAAGTTCCAGGTTAGGTTATTATATAGGTTATTAAATGAATAATGTTCCATAAAGAAAGTATATTTAATTTAATCAATTCAGTAAGTGAATCTATCTAAACATGCAGTTCTATGAAGAACATGAGCTCAACTCCAAAATTAAGTTTCAACTGAATGGGTTAGAAAAAAATCAATCTTGCGTTCAAAAATCATCATATCCCTCTCATCCAATCATATTCTCACTTACCAAAACATACTAGATCACTATTGGACAGTTCTTGACAACACTTGACACTTCACTGAACAATGACAATTCATAACACAAACATGACAAATAAACATAATTCTAAAATGACCAACGAATATTAAGTCATGTGACAATAAATAGATAAACATGCAAAATGATTCGCTACAGTGGTTACTATTGTGTTCACTGTACCATTATATTACATAAGTACAAGTTGGAAAAATTGACCTTATCTACACACTCCCTAACTAGTTTTAAATTGCTCCGACATTCTATGAACCTGTAAATTAGAATAATAATAAATGCTAACCAAATGTAAAATTAATTAAAGATCCTGTATATTTTGTGATTGATATTGCTACTGTGTGTGTACAAGAAAGTATATATGTATATAATTTTGCAAATTAAACAATTTTTAAACATCGAAGAATATGTAAAAATATACACATATATATATATATATATATATATATATATAATATATATATATATATATATATATATATATATATATATATATATATATATATATATATATATATATATATATATATATATATATATATATATATACTAACCTCTAATATATATAATATATAATTATGATAATTATCGCCGTTTAATAATTAACAGCCAATTGTTCGTTGGTGCGTTTGTTTATTTAATTGCATTATTGTGAAACTTTGTTAAAATAATAACATTGTGTATTATCAGATCTGTGAAATATTATTGAATAACATTAAGGTGATACTTTAATAAACGTAGCATTGTTTGGAGTAACAGGCATCTATGTTCTGTAGTGGTGCGACGGGTAGACCGATATTATTTGTTTGTTTCTTTATTATTATTATTTTTTGTTTTTTTGATATTGTTTTTTTTTTTTTGAACAAAAATATCTTCTCTGCGCATCCTGTTAAAATTAATTTGTCTGGCCAATTCTTTATAATATCTTAATATTTCGCTACGATATTATTCAAGATGTTGGGAAATGACATCACGCGCACCTGTTTTTATACGGCCAATACACAAACATGGCCGCGCCTACTGATTTGTAGAAATCGGTGATTTAGCGATTTAATTTTTTTTTAAATCGTTTAATATTATTAGTTGAAGGCAGACAATTTGCAGATTTACTATTTATGGTATTCTATTTCTGATATTAAGTTTTTATTCTAACATTGCCTGTCCCTTTTACATCCTTAATTATATTTCTTAAATGTATACCTTCGATTTATATAGATGAAGGGAAGATACCATTGTGCAACTATTATGAACCAGTTTTAAGAAGTTGTTTCCCTTGATTAATCTTGTTGATTAATGCCCCAAAACAGGAAAATTAGATGTTTAATGAAAAGTGTCGAATGGTCCCAACTAAAAGAATGCGTGTGCCCTAAACGAGAAAACAATCGGCGGAACTAAATAAAATGGAATTTTTAAAGAGAATCTGAGTTTATGAAGTCTGCATATCACAGAAAGGACATCAAAAGACAAATCTAAAAAGCAGGCATCATAGCCTAAGGAAAATCATACAGTATTCAAGTATAAATACTGGAATCAAGTATGATGACTGGAATCAAAAAAGTTAAAAATGTTCAAATGCTTAGAACTAAAAGCATTAACACAGACATGTACACACAACAAAAATGTTGTGCTTAACGATCCTTAAGGATAACAAATATAACATTTTTGATTATGTGTATTTTACTTTTTACGGCTTCCATACGGCACAAATAACACTGATATGACAATGAAATAGAGAAAACGGAATCCTTAAAAAACAAAAAACTGAAAAAATAGAAACTATTGCAGACTCGGTTTGTTTGAGCCTGGTCATGGACGGTACTGGAACACGAATTGCATTATCAAGAAAACTGATTGTCCATAGTGCATTAAAATATATTGTATATATGGTCTTTTGTGAATTAATTATTCAACTATTATTACAGCACACAATTTAATCGATATGGATGCTAGACCTCAAAATTTAATTTAGCTTATATGGCCCTTAAAGTCAAAATTATGTTTAAACACACTGAGCTGAGATGTCACCCATTCACGAAAACTGTCTGGTAGACGTCAACTGAACGCCGCCTTTACTTGTTAATCTTGTTTACCATATTGTAATATTTCTTTGACTTCGGTTGTGGAACTGGAGGTACAGGTGTTGCTTGGAGTGGACTCAGACCTGCTGAACCTACACCTAAAAAGGTATTGGTGTTATAAGGTTTATCAATAAATAAAGTGGGCGAAGTAAAGGGGGAAGGTTAAGTTCTGAGTAAAGAAGCAGGCTGAGCAGATAGAGAAGTTCGAGTAACTTCTGCAGCAGGGCTCAAACCTGGGTGAGGAAATCTCCCTGAATAACTGTTTGCCCAGTTCTGAGCGGGCGATCAGTTATAGGCTGAGAAAGTTCTTCAGGCTCAGGTATTGGCATAAAAGTTAGAAGAAATTTCGGTGAAGGATGCCGCTAAACTTTACATACTGGCTGGTTTTGTAGGGAATCTCTATAACAATATATGTGTCTTTCTCCCATTTGCCAGCAAATTTCTTCATTGAAGACTTACTTTTCTGACTAAGACAATGCCACCCACAAAGATCTTATTCTCATGTAGCCGTTTGTCAAATTGTCTATTGTCATGTTGATGAGCTCTTGGTGGCATTCTCAAGGAGATTGAAGATAGTCATTTTAACAGTTCACTGTTCTTATTTTATATATGTGATAAATAGAATATTATATTTAATACTAAATTTATTGAACTCGTTGAATAAAACAATATTATGCTCGCCAGAAGCTCGCATAATATGATTTTATTCAACTCGTTCAATAAATTTAGTATTAAACTACACTCATTCAATATCCTCTATTTAATCTATCCAGGTTCAAAGCAGAATAAATAAATATATGCTTGGCCTGTTTTTACTGCCTAGTCAACATGAAGTGTAAAATCCACACGTATAAATTTATAGCTTTAAACACTATTGATTTTCGCCTGAAAAAATTACCTGACGTTATACAAAATTCATCCTGTTAATTTAACTTCCGTATTGAAATGTGTATTCAATGCGTAATATTGTAAACATATCAAATAGAGATATATCTATATACAAAATTAAAACCACCTATATTTTTCTGAAAAATGTAAAAGATGACTCACTCCCTGACCGAAATATGTTTAAAAGTGACCAAAGAATTAAAATTCATGGCAGTTTGTGACACGTCAGTCCTTAACGGACAGATCAATGTATTTTCTGCAAAAAAGGTTTAAATAAACTCGTGTCACTACAATATTATCAACAAATGGTCAAAGTTGCAAAGTTAATGACAAACACTAAGGTTTGCTGAAAATAATAATTATTGACTTAAATTTTGGTTTAACACATTTAAATGTATTTAACGTGGCGGAAAAGCTGAAAATTCATGGAACACTGTATAAAAATGGGATGACGGATGAAAAACGATCAATGTGTATTCATAAAATATATGATCATATACAACATAATAACAGTATTTAAACTACCTGCCACACATATGTAAATGGGGTATCAGAAAGATAAATGGAACTCACAGGGATAAATAAGATAACCAGTATCAAATAAAACGAGAAACAATTATAAAGTTTTTATTTTACAAAAATCTTGTTTGCTTACCTCAGAAAATATAATTATCAAACAAGTAAATGTAAATTCCGTAAATTTATGTTATAGATGTTGTAGATGTAGCATATAACAACTTACTTATGATCCTTTTAATTAATATTATACAAATAAATATCAAATTAAAAATTACCTAAAACTGTCAGTTAAATGCACTGGTAAGCAAACAAATTTATATATGTCTCAAACCAAACACCAGTGTCAAAACATTACTAATAACTGGTATTTGATTTATAACCAAGACATAATATACATGTATACATACTGTGCTGTATATGAAAATGACAGATTGAATGAAGTCAATATTTTCGAAATTAATTATGAAACACAAAAATAATAATAAAAAAAAGATATACTACTACTAGTCTACTAGTAATAATAATCATATTCTGATAGTTTCTGAGTACAGAAAGAATATCTAAAAAATAATCAAACTGAACCTTTATTATATTTATCTCTGAATACTGCCAACCCCTCCTGTGAGTGTTATAAACAGAAATTCCCGTTTGAACTACTTTCAGTTGAGCTTGGTTACATTGTTGCTAGGGGTATTCGGTTAATTTTTTTTAACACGACAACAATTTACTTAACGAAAGAAGAATGTCATGTTGTAACATGAAAGAACAATTAACGTTGAAATAAATGAAACATTATGCACTTAAAGAATATCAGAATTTGCTGTGAAAAATTGAAAAAATAACATTACTTACAATGTTTGTAAACAAAAAACCGAATCACGACCTTTACAAAATCTATCAAGAAAATACACAAATAAAAATAGTGCGTCCTCAGTAAAAATGACAAAAATAAAGACAAAAACAAATGCTTACATTCAACCCAATTTAAACCGATTATAAACCCTATTCAAACACTTTTCAAAAATTAACACAATATCAGCACAAAAAGAGTTAAATGAGTAATATCCTCATTTGTAATATCGATTGCGCCATAACGCATATTACTAATAATGTCACTGTTTGTGTATCCTGAACGCGGTATATACAGCGGTGATGGGCCCAGAATAAACATAAAAGAAAAATGCACTATGGAAAGAGGTTAAACTTATCAGGAGAGGCTGAAAAATGAAGTGGAACACATCATTACCTGGTCACAGTAAAGGTTGCCGGTGCTGTCCTCGGTTGATGTGGAATGCCATCTCTAGTACAAAAGAACTGTCCTCACTAGAAAATCAGCTGATGCCCTGGTTTTTAAGATCGGTTAGCCTAATTGCAGAGCATGTAAAAATAAAAGAACAATACTGTTATCAGGAGTTCACTCATATATTGTGGCAATAAATATGAAATCAAGGTGCAACTGGCTAATCTTTTATGATAGTTTGTATAGGTTATTAGGTTATTGAGCTTTAAATTCTATCACGTGTAACTTGATTAAACACACAAAACATGAGTGTAGCATGAACTGCCCTTACCAAGTTGCAATTTCAACTATTATACAATTTATATTTTTCCGTTTGAGGGATCACTATCGTGTTCTTTCTTTATTGATATTATTTAATTTTTCAAATACTCTAGTATTTGTTTCCTATCAACACCTACATCATATGAGTAAGGGATGTGTTGATAAAACGACACCACTCTTATTAGTCCAAGAAATTTGTGAAAAAATTGTGCACCTTCTGTGAAAAGCATGAAACTTGGCATGGTGTCAAGGAATGGTATTTCAAGTTATTTCAGCCTGGGATCCACTTTTTAAAAATCCAAGATGGCCGCGAAATCCAAGATGGCCGCCAAAATGAAAAAAATACACAGGACATGTCAAAATGAAGTTATTTATGATTAGAAAATGATATAAATTGACATGATAGGTCAAAAATAGTAATTTCTTGGAAAAATGCTAAAGTAGCATTTGTAGAAAATTAAATATGGTTTCAAAATCCAATATGGCTGCCATTAAATGATTATATATTGACAAATTTCTAAAATAAAGGTAATTTGTATCTTAACACTTTTCATAGATATAACAAATTAAAAAAGTTGCATGCCTGCATAAAACCTGCACACACAGATGTACATTTACATAGAAAAAAAACTTACATTTATGGATAAAACCATGCGAGCACATTATTTAGCTTGATATTTCAAAGAATAGGGAGCGAGTGATATTGTACACCAAAGGCGTCAGCTTTACAATTTGGCTATGTTTTTTCATGCAAGTTGGTTTTGTAAAAATTATATGATGGAATACGTTAAGCCCTAATACACTAATTTTTTAGCATAATAGAAGGTCACCGTTTAAGGTCAATAACTCTATCATGGATTTTGACAGAATTATGTCCCTCTTAAATATAGAGAATTCTTCATAATCTAGGTTCTTGTTTAGCTTTAAAGCACCGAGAACAGTCAAGCACTCTATGATGTCCTACCGATAGCTCTTGTCAATGTGCATGATTCTGATACAATGCAAAGCCGCTGATTTTAATAATGATCCCCAGTTACCTTACTATCAAAACATAACACACAATGCGGAAAACAACATATCGTAGAATAACCGAAACAGAATGACTAAAACATTATTGTGTGCATCAACATCTACAGAAATTGAAACCTGAGCCCATAGAATGAGGGCTCTGAATGCGTCCTCGCGCTTCTGTAGAATTTAATGCATGAAAAGTGTGAATTAATCCTCTATTGTATTGTATATTTTAGTGCACAGAATTCCTTAGCTTATTTGAACCAAATGTTCAGTATGATTTGTACTACAAAGTGTCGGAGACGTAAGGGTTCTTCTCCTTTCAATTCTTTTTAATAAAATTATTTTGCATCATCCTTGTGATCGTCTTACTGCAGCTGTGAGTTCTTTTTCATTAGTAATTTAAGCAGCATATTTTGTTTCATAGATAACGGAATCAGACTCTTATTATATCATTATTTTGGCAAGGTCTTGTGAATTGACCAGAAAAACAGAATGATATTGAACAAAAATATCTTTGGTTTTTGTGTAATCAAACGTAAGTGTTTGACATTATTAAGATCAGTAATTCGTGACTTTATATGAGATCAAGTTTAGACTCTATTTGATAATTCCAAATGTAAGATTGAGATACTAACTTACTGACTTACTGCGAATTCGGGCTGCATTCCAGGGGCAACGCTCTTAAATTTCTTGTTAATTTCTCCCTTTTATATTTTAAAGTAGTTGAAATGCCTGATTAAGCCTTACATAGGCATATGTCTTTTCTGATATTACAGTATTATTGTTGATTTATAATCTCAGTTTTTTTTTGTATTTCAAAAACAATGGAAAAACTTTAACAAATTATAAATTGTTTACTTAGATATCAGAATGTGTCCTCGCGTTTCTGTAGATGTTAAATAGGGTGAATTGTGCACCTCTTGTTTAATTATTGGATTTTTAACAGTTCATAACTAAATGGGTTTTTGTTACAAAAACATATGTCTCCAAAAACTATGCATTGTAAATCATGTGATTATGCATGGTCACTCATGTGAATATTATTTTACAGTAAAATAGTTGATTTATAATCTCAGTTATTTTTTTTGTATTTCAAAAACAATGAAAAAACTTTAACAAACTATAAATTGTTTATTTAGATTAAATTATTTCTGTTTGGTTTCCACAACTGTCATAAAAGGACTGTACACAAGAACTAGTGAAATCATGCCGCATTTAGCTTAATTCATGAGGTTGTCATTTGTTCAGCTTTTTTTGTTATTTTTTTTTTTTTTTCTATTTAGTCCTTCTAGAATCACAATAACAATGAACAATTGACTTTAAACTTGACAGACATTCGGTACATCAAAACATGTAGGTGTTAATTATAAATAATTGACTAAAATTTTCTTGTCTATACCGATTAGTAATTAGTTGATAACACTTTAAACATTACCTTGCTTTAGTTAGAATAAAAACAACCTGATGAAACAACTGAAATATCATTATTTCTAACATTTTCAGCAATTTACTAGCCTAGTATCCACAATTTTTTAAGAACAGGTCACTTTTGACTTTGAACATAAACTACTTCAAGTAGTCTTTGGTTACGTTTAACTTTTTATTTTTATCAAAATACAAATTACACAGTCTAGAATTCTCTGAAATTATTATAATGAAGTGTTTTCCTTTTAGGGAAAATTACAAAGCTGTTGGGTAAAAATATACAAAAGTTTCTATACCATTCCTCGAGCACTTGCACAATGACCCAATAAGGAGGTCAGCTACATATTATATCATTGGAATATGACACTACTACGTTTGATTGCAAGTAACTTGCCCTTGAAATTACCTAAAATTAGCAAAGAAATTTTTATTCGAGGGCAGATAATGAAATATGAGATAATTTAACTTCTTTTTTTTGTTTTAAATATTCTTTTGTTTCTTTGAGTTTTCGTAAATCAAGTAAAAATGATTTTAAAAAATAATCTGAGCAATTTAATTATGAGCATATTTTCAATATGAATCGGGATGCTTTAAAACAGTTTCATAACTAAATGGGTTATTGTCATAAAAGCATATGTCTCCCAAAACTATGCATGGTCACTCATCTGAAGTTTCATTGAAATCCCACCAGTAATGACCTGTGAAAGCCGGACAATATTTTTTTCATTTATAGCTATGACGACCATTTTTTCGCAGCGAAGCGAAACGTGTTGGTGATGTGTATGCACAACTAGGGATGATACTGCTCTCTCCTGTAAAGTTTGGTTGATATTCAACCAGTAGTTTGACCAGTGAAGACCGGGCAAGATATTTCTTTTTTTAGCTCTGGCGGCTATTTTGTGCAGCGAAGCGGAACGTGACGGTGATGTCCGCAAGTTAGGATGGTACTGATTACTTCTGTGAAGTTAAGTTGAAATCCCACCTGTAGTTTAACCTGTGAAGGATGGACAAGCTTAATGCGGACGAACGGACAGACAGACACACGGCGAAGGCAAATACAATACGTCTCCCAAAAATTTACTTCATGCTGATATGTTTAAAAAAAACATGTAATATAATGAATGTGTGCTATTTTATACTAATTTGAAAATGATTACAGCTGGTGAGCTAACAAAATCTGAAAATTTCAACATGGTGGCCATCTTAAATTTTGGCAAGCATGTTGGATATGTAAACCCTAGATCCGAGGCTTGAATATAAATAAACATGCAATACCATAATTTTAAATTGGTGTCATTTTATACTGTTCTGTAATGACGACAACAGATGAAAACTATTACATTCTGAAAATTTTAATATGGCGGCCATGTTGGATTTTGGCAGCCATTTTGGATTTGCACAACCTGGATCCGAGGCTTGAATATATATAAATGTGTAATAAAATAAAATGGTGCTATTTTATACAGACCTGTAAAAAATACAGCTGGAAAACCTTAATATTTTGAAAAAAAAATAAATGGCGGCCATCTTGGATTTTTGGTGGCCATTTTGGATTTGCACAACCTGGATCAGGGGCTTGAATATAAATTAACCTGCTATATAATGCACTGATACTTTTTATACTACTCTAGGTATGACTACAGCTGAAATACCCAAATATTCTGAAAATTTTAATATATGGCGGCCATCTTGGATTTTGGCGGCCATATTGGATAATTAAAAAGTGGATCCCAGGCTAAAATGAATTGAAATACTATTTCCTGCCATCATGCCAAGTTTCATGCTTTTCACAAG